AGGCATCATAAATTTAATACAACGCAAGAAGTGGAAAGTATCTGATGCCCTAAGAGTAGGCAATCTCTTGGCTTAAGCAGCTGTTCACAACCAGATGACCAAGTATTTACTAATCCAGCAAAGAAACAAAATAAAAGACTATGTATAAAATTCATGTGTCAAAGCATCCATCTCCAGTTTAAATATTTTTAGTTCCCTGGGAATGAAACTCCTTAGATGCTTATTCCTTGGCTTAGCACACCTGTTCAGAGATGCATTATTTCAAAAGTAGGATGTATTACTTCAAAGTCTTTGCCCTGCTAGTATCAGTCTGCAAAACCAACAAACACACACACTGCACCAAAAGTGCCCCCAAATAATATTTTTGGATTATCTCAATACATAGAAATATATACATAACCAAAATTGGTTAAGAGAAAAAGGCAAAAATACAAGATTACAGCTATGCAAATGAACATTTATTATAAAGTTTCAAGCAATAAGAAATTTTAAGACTACCATGAGTAGGATTTTATGTGGTGGTTGGATTTTCTATAAGTCTTTTTATTTTTATGATTTTGTTTAATTGAAAAAGTTTTTGGAAATCTGGGGTTGATATTTTTAGGAGAGTTACACACCAATACATGTTCAACAGAGTTGGCTTCCTCCCACCTTACCCAAGTCCAGAATTCTTCCAGCGTTCATAGCTGTAAGTCTCAGAACAAGTCTGTACATGCCACTTGGCGGCAGTTGAAACCTTCTTACAATGGAAACGTTTAGTTCCTCAAAATTCATTTTGCCCCACTGGATGCCTTTACCTCCAGTTAAGAACAAGAGATGCCACACGTAAGGGATAACATTTAGAGAACCCTCTCCCACAAGTTTGTTTGCTCCAAAATGTTAGACTAATGATTTTTAAAAGCCACACGATTTCTACAGCACTCTACTGCTGAGCAATTGAAAGTAATTTTAGCACTTTCACAGATCCCAAGGCTCCTCCTAATCCAGTGGGCAAACAGTGTCCCCATTTGAAGGGACACGACCAAAGCCTGCAGATAATGACTGAATTTAGCAGGTTGACCTCAGCGAGGAAGAATGCCCAAGAATTCAGCCCCAAACCCTTCCCCTCTACCACCACTGCTACTACCGTTTTGGCCTTTACCTCCCGTCTTCTGGACCACTGTCTGAGGACAACCATCTTACCTGCTCCTTTCCCAAACATCATCTGATCAGGTTTCCTACTTACTCCCAAGGGTTCCCCAATCCCAACAAAATTTTCAATGACCCCTCAATGCTCAAAGAATGACATCCCTCCTTAACTGGCAAGCATATAATCTCTCCCCCCAAGATGCCACTACTCCCTAAACCTCAAAGTCGCCCTCAGCCCTTCTGTCACACACCCCCATTCCCCTTTTCTTCAGTATATGAGGGGGACAGTATTAGCACCACGCCCTAACAGGTGGCAAACTCTGTGTTGCTTCTGCTTACCGTCTTTGGACCCAGAGTACTCAAAGTCTACAGCCTACCTTTCCTCCAAGAACAGGTTCAGACAGGGTCAAGATGTTCAAATCTCCAGAAAGGCTGCCATCCTTTCTGTGAGCAAGCCCCGACCCCAGACATTGCACCTGCGGGATTCTAAACTCCCTAACCTCCCCTCTCACTACCTACAGTAAGTACCTTTCCAAAAGCAGGATTTTCCTTCTCCTAGTCAAGACATTTGGAATACTAGTCACTGTATGCTCACCAAATACAAAATAACAAGGTAACAGTAACCCCAAGGGAAAAACAAAAATTGTCAAATAAATATTAACAATAATAAAACCCAATATGACACAAAAACAAGCATTTGTTCTGGTTTTGATTTTTCACACTGTCCCTCTTTGATGAAAATAACTAAAATTCACTAGATTTACTCAACATGCACAAGATCATCTTATAAACGCTCCTTTTGTAAATAAATGTTATTCTGAATGAAACCCCATAAGCTGAAATTCACAATGTTTTTCTTAGGTTTTAATTTATGAATAGCCTTCATGGTGATCCCTCAGAAACCTAATGCAAAAACTAAATTTCTCTAAATAGAATATATTCTGTGTTTCAAATCTTTTAAGATAGTTATATACTCTTGAACTATACTCAAACTATTTATCAATTGTCACCAAATTTGGGGGTACTACCCAAAAAAAGGCACTTTCATAAAACATATCAAAACTCAGAAAACTCCCTCTTTTTACTCATTCACCTCACATAAATACAATCTTCTCAAAATAAGCAACCACAGTCACTAAAAAAATAAAAAGTTCACAGAAAAAATAGAAAATATAACAATTAAACAAATTAGCTACAGGGTTCAACTTAAAGATATTTTACCTGAAGTTAGGTGAAGGGGAAAAAAAAAAGCTTCTTTATAAACAACAAATTATCACAAATATTTTCCCCATTCAAATGCGATTCACACCAGTGGATGTTTAGCAACAATAAACAAGTGCTTAAGTGTCAATAATCCAACCCCAAAACCACCATATACAAATCACGCCAACAAATCCTAAATAAACTCCTCTGCATAATGTAAATTGTTCTAAAATTAGACATTGAAAGGGAGAAGAAAATGGAGATATTAACTGCCTCCCTTATTTCTATCATCTATCAAGACTGAACTTCCCAGTATCAGTTCATAAGTGCTGTGATAGTAAGGAAACATATAAGAAAAATCAGGAAAACCTTAACGCTGAGTATTTGATACTAAGGAATTAACTTTTTAGGTTTGAGAATAGCATTATCTGAATTATTATCTGATTATCTGAAAAACAAAATGATACATACTGAAGCATTTAGTGAAATGGTAACTAGGCTTTACCTTAAAACACTATGGAGAGAGAAAGACCACAGATGAAACTAGATTAGTCACCTGCTAGTAACTATCAAATTAGGTGATCTACTCTCTCTCCTTGTGTATTTTTTAATTTTTCCAGAATAAAATAGAACTGCTGGTGAGCAAAATCTCAGGCACTATTTTGTGTGTGTGCCACTTTTGCACAGACTTCTTAATTTGTTAGGTTTGCATAATTTGAGAATTTCTTCTCAACTGTACAGACTTTGTAGTCAGAGAGCTGTGTCACTGCCAGTATCCCAAATGCTTCCCAACTGCACTGCTCAGCAAATCTATTTCAAAAGCTTGGGGGAAGGAGAGGATAGAACCAAAGGAAATGAAGAGGGAAAAAAACTTAAACAAGAACCTGCCCAAACTACTACCAATAAGGAACACCCACCTCTGAAAGCCACTTAATACACATTCAGGTTTCATTCTTTCTTTCTTCTTCTGGTTTAAAAATGGATTGTTGGCTTCTAGTTTACTTCACTGCCCTTCACATCCATGCTGACTGAGGAAGATACAAACAATCCAACTACTGTGTAACCAGGTCAAAACCAAGCTTTGGCTAACTCACTTGGAAGAGTACACTCACCACTTAGATTTGGCCAGAAAAACTGGGCTAGAAAAAAACCGACTGGGGCTTAAACAAACAGTGGGGCTGGGGAGAACGTCTTAGAGCCAGTTACCAGGCCACTCAGTGAGTTGCAACACAATCTTTTCCAAAATTTTCCAAAGTCTTCCAAATTCAGTTGAGCCCAGCAGGCTGAGTTAACAGGGCTTCCTTTCAAATTCAAAAACCTGGCCCCGGCCCCAACAGTTAACCAACAAAACACATGCTAATTCACTTGAGAACACCTAAGAAAACAGACTCAAGTTCAGACCGCAGGCCGGTACAGAGCCCAGTACATAGCCAGGCCAGGGGAAGTTGGGGCTGGGGAGAGGCGTTCAATCAACAGATAAATCCTATTCAGAAAGCATAAAAGAGACAATAGGATCCACACTTAATTGGGCCTAAGAAAACGTCTACAGTCAGCTTCCAACCCCCTCCCTCCATTTTTAATGAAACAATGACAATTCTTCAGGGTGAACCACAAAGCCCTGCTTCATAAGATTTTTTTTTTCTATCCCAACCTTGTACTCACTCTAACAGCTAGAAAACACCCCCAGTGTAAATTACGTATAGAAAACGTTTCATAGGAAGAAATAAATCAGGGCCCGGGAAATTTAACATTCTGTTTCAAATTTTCAAGATCTGTGCCTCCATTACCTACAGCTCTTTCAGACGCTCCAGAATGTGCACTGAATAAAATGAACAGCACTGTTAGTCACATCAGGTGTCAGCTACTCAGAGAAGACTCATCGTCTCCAGATTTGTTAGTTTCATTTACCGTTGGGGGGGGGCCCCCCGGGTAAAAAAAAAAAAAAGAGAGAGAGAGAGAGGGAGAGACAGGCCTGGGGTGGGTGTGCAATCTGGGCATCCTCTTGACTCCTCACTCTCCCTCATCTCTGTTTCAATTACACACCTGTCAAACAGGTTATTCCTGGAATTCAGATTTTATAATCCTCACGCTGTAATTCTTTCCTGCTCCTAGTGCACAAACACACGCCCCTCCCTGCTTCCCCAAAATACGTATGTATCTATCAATAGGATGTGTGATAGAGTTTTTCAAAAGTCGCAGGTAACACCAAACTCCTCACCTTCAGCACTTGGCAAACATTAAAACGAGGCAACACGATGACAATTTTCAAGAAGGCCAAGGCAGTGGCTCAGGATAATCATAGGCCAGGCCTCCCTATACTGAATTCTCATTAATACACACAAACTCAGAACTGGAGAAAACCAAAGAATTAAGGTTGCCGTATAGGAAAAAAAAAAAAACTGTTTTCCCATTTTATTGAAGAAAAGTGCATGCCTAAGAGTGTAGCTTATTTCCTTATCTCAAAGCCAGGAAATGAGTGAGGTCTTTTAAGGCCAGCCTGAATATAAACTCTTGTTTAAAAACAGAAGGACTGCAAGGCGAAACCCCTTTCCCAACTTTGGCCAAGTGGCGTGGCCTCCAGTCAGCGGCGTGTTTATCATCCTTTTCCTCGTCCCCCAACAAGAAGTTTCAACGTGCCACGGGAAACAAAGACGGCGCCCCACACCGACCTTATAGACTTGTCCATAGGTGCCATTTCCAACCACTTCCACCAGCTCAAAAATCCCAGCAGGATCCTGGAGAAGAGGAGGGGAGGGGTTAGAATTTAAAAGCAGCACAACAATGAATAAATAAAGCGGGGCAGTCGGAGAGAAAGGGCGCTTGCAAACCAGGTGGGCTTGGCCCAGCGCGGTCTCCCAGAGCTCGAGGGTCGCGCCGGGGCCGCGGAGGGCGGCGGGGTGGGGGCGCCGGCGGAGGGTCGCGCCCCGCCGCCCCGCACATGCCGACGCAGGCAGACAAAGGGGCCGCCGCGCCCGCGGCTCTGCCCGCGGCG